TATATATATTACAATTGTAACTGCATATGCTGTTTCATGACCCCATCGGCATTATTTGAATTGATTCACATAGATATGTTGATTTAAATCTTACTGTAGTGTGAAGCACCTACAGCCACCAGAAAGCGGGAGCTATAGAAGCGATCTGTACTGGTACCTATTATTACTATTATTTAAATCATTTAGAAGGTGGGATGTTTCGACCCTGCCTGTCAAGGCCAATCCCGGCTGAGAGGGATACAATGTCTCAAAAGATAGACAGAGAGAGACAGAGCTCCTGATGTGCGTGTGTGTATGTGAGTGTGTAAGTGTGCGCGTGCGTGCACGTGTGTGCGTGTGTGTCTGCGTGCATGCGTGCGTGCGTCCGAGTGTGCATGCGTGTGTCCGTGTGTGCTTGAGCGAGCATGTAATTTCGATGCTTCATGTATTGTTTTTGCCCTGTGTGTGTGTGTGTTCATAAAAAGGACCATTCTATGAGTTTACAGTGGATGAGGAATTGAGTGTATGAGGGACAGAGGAAGAATGTGATGTATTGATATATGTTTTGCACACTCATGTAACTTTTAGTGTCACAGAAGCTGGTAATGCATATGGACTATTTCTTTCAATGAAATGTGTCATGACGTGGTGCAATCAAGTGCTCATCAATTTTCAGGAATATGAAGTTATTATATTTGATATAATCATAAAGCCTGTTCATTTACCATGTGTTTGATGAAAAAAAATTTTTTTATCTATCTTGAATAGAAGTGGAGATATTCGCAATTTGCGAGGTGGGGGGCCGCCTGATTTCAGAGGTAGAATTAGCCCCATCAAAGTTTGGTGACTTCCGTATATATAGAGAGTCCTTGGAAACTGAAAATTAACATTTTGGCTTTAATCCTCGTTTCCAGTAAAATCCACAGAGAATTGTGTTTTTCTATGGACATAAAAAGGTATTGTGCCAAGAAACAAAAATTAAATAAAAAGTGCCAAATCAGCACCAAAATGTCAGTTTTCTCCATTTTCATTATTTAAATAAGCACCTGATTTCACCACGATGCCTCACAGATCTTTGAGAAATACTGCGGCCTACCTGCTTGTTGAGTCAAAGTGGCTCTCAAAGACTTTATCATCTCTTGAGCTTTGCGAAGCTCAAACTCAAGAACTGAAATTTTTAAAAAATAAGACATAAAAATCAGTTCACTCCAAAGAAGAACAGAATATACAAATTTACTACGTAAAACAAACAAGATGACAAGGAAGTAACTGAAAGAAAAGTATACTTATCAAAAACTATACCGTACCGTATATGCTCATCTATAACATGACCTCGTATGATACAATGTGTGTGAGTGTGTGTGGCGGGGTG